TCAGAGCTAAGTATCACTGGAGCTTTGTGCAGTATAACAAGCGATGCTCAGGTCGCAGTCCTTAACATCCAATCTCCAGAACATTATAGCAAGTAGCTGGCCGCGCTGGCAGCGATTCGCTGCAGAGACTTTGACCACGGAAAATAAAATCACACAGAGCACTCGTCGTTTCTGAAGCACAACAGCAATTTTCCGGCGAAACAGATTGCTGCATTCATCGATACACACATTTCTCGAGAGAGGACTGGGTTTGCAACATTCCAGGCCATGCTGTAGTCAGGGCCTTTACTGGATAGCCGAGTGTTTACTCCATGCAGCTCAATTTTTGAGCATAATTAAGACTGCCGGATCATTGCCGCGTCTCCCTGGTCGCAGTACTTGAATTCAATGAAGTCCTCAGACTGTTTCAAAATCTGAACGTTGCTTTAGGTAGCATACTAGCCACAAGGGCATCTTACACAACAATAGTTAGATAGTTAGCTAGATTGGACAGTGCTGAAACCCTCCTTCCAGATAAAGATGGATGCCATCGGCAACTTGTAAGTTCCTTTCTTGAGAACATTTCAAAGTTAAAGCCAATTATCACGGACAGAATACAACATGCTGGCGCATAGCACGACAAACTTGGGATAATAGAGGTACATGCTCCGAGATTTAAAGTCACGCATAATGGGGTTTGTCGCAGCTGTAGGGATGACCAAGAAAAGGAAGTATCTCACGCTTAGTGAGTGACAGAAGAAATAGTCTCTTTAATAGATCTAGTCAAGGTTAGTCTGAGCTAAATTCGACCATTTATCGAATTGAACCCTTCCGGATGCCGGCATCTGCATTTAGTGGTATGGTTTTTTGCATGTGTCTTCTCCTCGCTAGGAGCTGGTCTCTGGATTTTTTTTTTTGTACAGTGTGCTGTTATGAGCCCAACTGTTTCGATAATGTAGCTCGGCTGCCTGTTAACTAAAGTTTTCTAGCAGTTTTTGTAAGTACAGCCACATTACACATTCTTTCTGTTTTAATTTCTGTGTGCAGAACACACAGTTTATGCCATACCATAAAAGACTTATCGGTAATTCATACGAAGTGGTTTCTACCCCCTTTCACATTATATCTGGTTGTCAAAGTGATTTGTAAACTTTTTGCAAAGTCCATTAAATAAAGCTTAAATGAAATTGAGAGGGCGGACGGGCAGTCAACCAGGATGCAGCAGGTCAGCAAAAATGTAAGCAGAGGCAAAAGAAGAACAGCACGGAAAAGAACAAAACAGGGAAAAGCGGAGAACAGCTCAGAGCGCTCAATTCGGGTGTGCTCGACTAGATAATAAGCTAAATCTTTGTGAATGCACTCATCCACCTTAACACTATTTTATACTATTTGCAGAAACTGCTAAGTATAGCCTCAAATCTTATCCCCATACTGATACTTAGATTATATGAGACAAAAGACGGACAGGCTGATGCACATTCGATCGGACTGTATCTGACCGACCCACTTTTGTCGTCCTGTTTATGAACATATCTACTCATTCGTGTCGGAGCTGCTTCCTTCTGTCTGTTACATACTTTTGCATAAAATCATCATACCTGTTTTGGCAATTTTCATTGGGCACAGGGTACAAGAACGGAACAGCATGGGACATGCAACTGCTGTCACAGCTGCGTCAATCTGTCAGCGCAGCGTCAATCTGTCAATCGGTCAATCGGTCACATTGGCTTGTCTGACATCTGGTCAACGAGTCAATCGCTCCATCAATCAAGCGGAATACTATTCGACGCAACCGACTAAATACACATGCAAATGGCGCTTGATTCGACAAGGAAACTAGGCAAATGATGGTGGAAAGCAGAGTTCACTGAAGCGGGCAAGGAACTTTTCGACATTTTGTATCTAATAAGGATCAGAGGGCCTGTCACGCGCCTCCGGGCCAAAGCAATTGATGTGTCATTCAGTGGACCCACAAAAAAAGAGAAAACCACCAGCCTCACGCACCACTCCAAAAATAGTTTGCCCAACATTTTTTTTTGCTGTGGAGCCCATTGAAAAAGGTGAATAGGGTAGATTGGTTTTGTGGAAATGTATGCAGCAGTCAGTAAAAAGCATTTCCGACCGGAGAAAGTATATTACACATATATTCTTGATCAGGAAGACAAGTTAACCGACTTTGTCTTTGTCTATGTCAAGATCCGTATCCTGCTGTGTTAACTGCAAAAGCTAAAGCTTTGATATCGCTAACAGCTAAGAACTCGATATCCTTCTCCATGTGTAAAGCAACTTCGGTGCCGTATTTGGGCCTCAAAATTTGTCATATTGTGTGGAGCAGAGGAGACAAGTGTACCTCCTCGACGAGCACTCGCGCCTAGAGCCCTCTTAGTTGTTTATTAAAGCCTTTGTGGAACCACATAGACCAACGCATCGCATAGAATTACAATGGAGTCATGCATTCGGTGTAGCACACACAATAGAGCCCACAGGACCCGCTTGTCAATTGGGCGTCGTCCAAAGGTCACTGGTGAATTTGTTGGGGGCGTATTTGCATGCAACCGCAGCACTTGTCAATCCCATTGACGCCCTTATTGAGTTCACTTTAACACAAAGCGAACACTTTGGTGTTGATTGACGATTTACAAGCCTAATGAGAACGCGACGGAGCGACAAGTTAACGGGCGACCTACGAATGCAGGGAGCTAAATGACAAACTAGTCCGATGTTAAGCAAATGTATTTTAATCTGTTACGATGCTTACGTTAACAACCCATATTTTTCGGCTTTCAAATAGAAAAATTTTGAAAATATATGAGAAAACAAGGCTTTAAAGATGTGAGCTGCCAGGCTTTTGTTCAACTTGCGGCCCTGTTTTGTAATTGTTTCTTCCGTGCGTAACAGATTGCGTGGCAACATTAAAATAGCCCCAACAAGGGTATAAAACTTGGTTGGCCACACCTGGAACGTGCATATGTCAGTTAAATGGAGCAAATTGGAAATTTCAGTTTTAAACGAAAAAGTGGTAAAAGTTGAACGTTAAGCAAACAATTCGCAATAGAACCATTGCGAAAGTCTTTGCTTAAAAGTTTCTGTTTAATTATGTAAAAGCTTTCTTGTGTCAGTTGCAGACTTTTGAAAGAACAGTAGCTGCGCTGCGTTGGATATGTCAATCGGGCCTAAAAAAAAGAGCTTCAATTAATTAATTAAAGATTTAATATCTTGACACGAGCAACACCCTGCAATAAGCCTTTAAGGATGTCAACTGTTTATTATGAAATGAAATATGACATACAAGCACACATTGCCTTGGGCCATTCGAGTGGACTTGCACTTTTCGGTTTCATTTATTATTTAAATGGTCTGAATTAAATTAAATTGTCTGAGATTTAAATTTAAGTTACAACTATAATTTATATGTTAAAGAGAACAAGTGAAAGATCAAATGCACAAGCTAGTTAGACATATTGATTCAGTACTAGCGTATATCACCCTGCTCTTGCTCAGGGCAATTTTTTGGCTTCATTAAATATTTTACTCCCGTGCATTATTAAAGCCTGCTCGGACTGGCTTAAACACTTATTCACAAAGATATTAGAATGTATTTCACACTTCCATCGGATGAAAAAGAGGATATTACTATCAATAGTTTGCCATAGAGTGGATTTTCCAAGTCGATTATCTGTTTTCCACAAATATTTTTGATAAATAGTTATCATTGATTCGGCTGGCAAACAAAAAAGTTTTGCATTATCATAACCTATCAATTTTCCACATATTCGGGTGGCATTTTCCAAAATTCCAGTTGCGTAACGCAAGCCAATTACTGAGTACAGTCAGTTAGTCAATTAATCAGTCAGCCAAGCAGTCTGTCAATAAGGCAGTTAATTAGTTAGTCATTCAATCATTCAGTCAATCACTCAGTCAGTATGTAAGTGAGTCAGCTAGTCAGTCAATACGACATTTAGTCAATCACTTAGACAGTTAGTTAACTTGAGTGTTAATTACCAGTCAGTCATTTAGTCAATCACTCAGTCAATCCGTCACTTAGTTATTAAGACATTGAGTCAATCAGTCAATAAGTGAGTGAGTCAGACAGTCACACTTTATCAGTCACACCATCAGTCAATCACTTAGTCAGCCAGCTAATCAGTCAGCAATAGAGTTGACATAATCCTTGTAATTTTTTAAAAGTGAGCTTGTCGAGTTTTTCCATTCTGTTTTTGCAGAAACCAAAGGCCGTTAATTTGGTTTTAGTTGTAAAAGGTAATTTGTTGAATTTTCTCGCTCTGTCGCTCAAGTGCCCAAAACACTATAAACTTTATAATTATTTAAGCGCGTTGTCATATTTACACCTGCTGCGGCATCCCCAACAGAGTCCAGTTACAGCTGCCAACTGACATGCCCCAAATTGCCATCATGGTCGTTGCCGCTGAAAACTCGTGTCAAAGCAAAAGTTCCTGTGGGTGATAAGTGGGTGCAGTTACAGTGTGCGGGAGGTCATAGGGAAGAGCGGTAAGTTGAGGTGGCTTGGCCAACTGGGAAGCCGGTTGACTGAGGTACGAAAATGGGCGGATTGCCAACAGTTGTCCATGGCGCAGAGCGATGTAAATGCAAACTCTTGCGGTATTTGAGTAACGGCGAAATTTCATTTTAACTTTCGCATAATTTTATGCTCATTATGGCCACTGTGTGTGTGCCCAGGCATACACACACGCGCAGAGAGACACACTATTACGTTGTTATGGCAAGCGGGAGCCAGATATGGCTGTATATAGCAGCAGCAGATCCAGCAAAATGTCAAATCCCAAGATAGCGGCAATGGCTATGTTGATGGCGTCGCAAAAGCTTTAATTACTTTGATGCATGATTTTCCTGCCATTTGCAATTTGTAGCAAGGATAATGAACAGGCTGGCTTTATTTAACCTGCTGCATGCACACACACACGCACACGAACACAGAATCTTGTGTACACATTTGTATAGCATACTTATTTGATGCGTGGCTTCTTCCGTTTGCTCTGCAGCAAGGACACGCACACAGGACGAACGTATTCCCAACTGGCTACCAATTGAGCAGTTGTTAGAAATGGGTAAGTGTGCGAACTGAACTAAATAGAAGAACGAAGAGGACGACCACAACACACTTTTGCACGTCCATGTGGGATACACGGATTCACCTTCAATTTGGCAACGGTTTCTCTTTTGATACAGATGCGCTACGCTTGCGTGGTTCGCCATTTGTACGCTTCGGCGGTGGCGCTGGGCATGGACCAGGACTGCCACATCCACATCCGCATCCACAGGCGCATGCCGTGCACAGCGTTCAGCAGGAGCCGCTTATTGTTGTGGAGGAATCAAATTTGCCCGAAGAACTGGAGCCGGAGAGCTCGGAGACATTCTCGAATCGTGCCAGTCTGGACATCGACTCGCCCGTGAATCCATATTTGCTATCACCATGGCGTGATCCGCGCGAGGCCCGCAAGCATTCTCTGCCCTCACAACAGGTCACCGACGGCATCACCGCCAGTCAGGTGCGTCGTCTCTCCGAACGCGGCGGCGAGGGTTCCGGCCCATCGCCCAAAGAGGCCGCATTTTTGGCCACACTCTCACAGGCCCCAGCTCCATCTGGCCGTCGGCACTCGGTTGTCACCATCTCCAAGGTGCCCACCACACTCTTTGGACGCTCTCGGCGCGAATCTGTCGCCGCATATCCGTCAACCAATGGGTAAGTCCGCCCGGCTTCGAAACAGGTAGAATGCAAATATTTTATTTTATATCCAGTCAAGTAGTGCACTCCTCGCACTTAGTAAGAGGAGGCTGAAATTCCGAAAAGGTTACTTCCTTATAATTATCTAACTGGTGTTGGTCTTAGCTTATTATCGCATAGTATATAGACAAAACTCTGAAAAGTGGAGATCTGCGTTTGATCACAATCAATACTTAAATGATGTAACTTAGGTCTCCATAAGACAAGTATCTTGATTATATGAATCAGAGCTTTTTGGAAGGCCTTAGCCTCGATTGTTGCTCTCGGTGGGATTAGGTTCCAGTTGTTGACCATTCCATTTGATTATTGCAGCAGCAGTCGTGTATTGAACTCGCGTCGGGAGAGCAACACAGGACCTCCATCAACAGATCCGATTGGGAGCATACACAATTTGCAGCTGGACATTATGGATGACATTTATTTGCAGTCGCGCAAGGCTCGCTTGAAGCTTTGGACATCCAGCAACGAGAAAGTGTGCGAGGTGCAGACGGTCGATGAGGTGGGCGCTGGGGCACCAGGCAGACGGTATACCAATCGACGGTATTCCGAGTGCCCCCAGCCGGGCGTAGGTGGCATTAGCACATTGCGTCGTGGCTCGGAGCACCCGCAGCCGCAGCCGCCGAGTGTCTCGCCGCAGCCGCCATCGGCACGTGCATCGATGCGACGCAAGAAGTCAGGCAGCGGCCTGGGCTTGCTGGGCAGCCGGACGGATATAGCTGGCATCTTTAGCTCGATAACCGGTTCGGGCAGCAGCTCGATCATTGATACGCACAGACCGGATCCGGATGGCGGTTCGTCTAGCTCATCGGGGGCAACTGGGAACAGTGCTACCAGTCCCTTCTTGAGCAATACGTTCCAACAGGCAGCTCGCGGTCGCACCACCAGCGCGACACCCACACCCAGTGGCGGGCAATCATCGGGCCTGCTGCTGGATCCGAACGCAGGCCGCTCGACACGCTCCAACAGCTTTGACGTATCCATATTGAACAATGCCAAACAGCTAGTGACCGAGGCACAGGACAACAGCTCGGCAGCCATATCGGGCTGGTTTGGCAATAAGCGGACGCCGCTTGCGCGCAAGAAGAGCATGCGGAGCAAGAGTAGTGCCGTTGCTCTGTCAAAGGACATGCTGGAGCGGCTGCAGAAGAAGGATCCGCTTGCTGGCGACTCTGGCAAGCCGAAGCTAAAGCCACGCAGCAAGCAAAAGAAGAGCTGGGCAGATGCCACCAAGGCGAATATTGTGGATGCCACCATGTTGGGCTCGGCCATCGAGGGATTTCTGCGCAAGAGCTCCAATGCTAGCATGGGTGGCGGAACTAGTGCCGCCGGCGCTTCCACATCCACATCTGGCAGCCGTTCGGGCAACGCCAGTGGCAGCGGCAAGGGGGCTATACCCAAGGACTCTGGCGCCAGCAGCAGCAGTGCCAGCTCTGGAGGGGCACGACGCACTCGTCAGTCCGCTGCGAGCTCTGCTCAGTCGCAGGCCGGACGCGCCATGCGCTCCACGCTCAACTGGTTTAGTAAGGGCGACGAGGATGATTCCAAAGATACGTGCGATGCCTCTCTGTGCGCCACACTTAAGGATCTCTTTGTCAAATAGATCGGGGGTACGAGACGCAAGTAAACGGACAGCGACGGCGAATAGTGTTGGGCATAGGAGGCAGGCAGAGGCGATCAGAAGAATAGAAGGTGAGGAATCTTTGAAATGAAATTTTCTATTATTACTATCAATTTTTCATTTTTAACATACGAATATTAATAATATTTTTGTTTTTTTGTAGTTCTGAATATTACTTTTAAATATTATTGTATATTGCATTATATATCTAAAACCTTTTCAGTGGGCTACTTGCATCTCTAATACCACGAATACAATAAAACGAAATCATAAGCACAGGAAACACATGAAAAACAATACCAAACAAACGAAATAAAAGGAAAAACGTACAACAACAGTAATTCGAAACAATAACGGTAAATAGTAATGGTAAATAGTAACGGTAAATAGTAACGGTGACCGCATTGAGGGGCGCTGGTAGTAGTAACGATAGTTAATAGCAATATCAGAGAAACGATAACGATAGCGATAACGATAACAATATTAAGGCAACATTGCAGGTGAGTTTTGTGATTATCGAAGGGCAGGGAAAAGGTAGCGAAGGCAAACCGAATGACAAATTACCTACAAATAGTGACCTAAAGACATACAAGCATATAAAACGTACATATTTCGAAAACAATATATTTACATATGACCTTTGAACAGAATACATATTAACATACAAACATATTTCGATAAATATATAAATATTTACATATACAAAGCGTATTTACATTTTTATCCGTCATAAACCAAAGAAATAAAAAAAAATAAAAATAAAAATAATATATAAACTGAAGATGAAGGAGAGGTGAGGAGGTAGTATTGAGAGATGGCAAAAGAAAAAAACCAAAATCAAACTATTTTTTTAGGTGTGGAATCATATTTGAGAAGATCAGCCAATATGTATGTGTCAACTAACTATATATAAAGTAAATGGCTATGAATAGATTTTTTTTTTTCTATACTATAATAAATAAAGTATTTAGAAGATACGAAGCAAATATTTCCAAATGCTACTGATCATGAAATGTACAAATTGAGTTGCGCATATCAAACTATACAAGATCCGATACATATATACGCAACTGGGAATGAATACATATGATATAAGGCACGAATACAATCGAATATGGTGGGTTGAAGAAAATAAAAATATATATCTATTATATCATGGTTATAAATGTTATATAAATGTGCAGTAAACTTTGTAAGGCATCTCCAATTGGGGATCCGTTAAGATTTTAGTTGTAGATTTTTTTTTTTGCGCCCATAATTGGTGCAACTCGTCAATGCAGAATCTTTGATCCATGCAAGGAGATACTAGGAGACGGTCTTAAGGTTCCATAATATGTAATAATATTAATAATAATATAAATAATAATAATACTAATTCTAATAATAGAAAACTTCTTGTAAGGTATTCAACGCTATTGAAAATGCCACCCTGGCGTTTTGCGGGAAATGTTGTAAGCGCAACAATAACTTTAACTAATCTGCATGTGCTTACAAATTGATTTAATTGGTAACTACATATGTGCAATTTGAGCTTAAAAAAAAAAAACTGAATGCTAATTAACATCATAACATAATTAACATATACTAATAATATGGCAACTATGTTATATATTGATGTTCAAATTATTGATGTACATGTATTAAATGTACATGCATGCAAACTTTTATGTGTATGTTTATGTGTGTGACGCAAAACACAAACTCAAACTTGAGTTGAACTTTGTAATGACAGCAAATTGCGTGAAAAACTTTGCTAATTGAATTGTGCGGAATGTGGCAAAAAAAAAAAAAAATAAATAAAAATAAACGGATAAATAAATTTGAGAGCTTTAAATAAAAGAGAAGTGGCAATTCGGCAGTAAAGATTCAGCAATCAGTCAATATTGCAATCAATCAAGTATGCTTCAATCAAGTATTCTAATAAGTATACAATATACTTGCATGAATACATATACATATACATATACATATATATATGTACATGTGTGAATTTATATGGCATTTGGCAATGTCAATTCACAATCTGCTCGCTTAATGTTATTAAATGAATGTTAAACACTGAATATTGTTGAACGTTGCACAGCACTGTCGATAACGTTGACGCAACTGTCAAGCTAGATGATCCCAATAACCGTGTGCATCTATTTCACTCACATACATGTTTATCTACTGGTGTATGTGCGTATTTTTACAATAAATATACATACATATATATTAAAACCATATACGACCGTATATGTATATGCATATGCTGCATATTACCATATATGTACTACATGTATATCTCAATGTGCCCAATTAACGTATATCGATTTCCAATGTGTGTTTCAATAATACTCGAAATCTGTGCGGTAACCCAAAGTTAACTTTCACTTTCAATGCTAAATGTACATAAATATATTTGCAAATATATAAAATATTAGTCTAATTCAATATACATACAATATATACATATATACATATATACAAATATCTATATAGATATACATCTGTATGTATACGTATTTATATATATGTTTGTATATGTAATATGCATACATTTGAATGGTATTTCAACTATTTACAAGTCAATGCGACCGTTATTGGTCCCAATAAAGAAATAAACTATAATAAAATACAAAATACAAAATACAAAATACAAATACATATATATACATATATATCTAGCAAATAAATGTTGTTCTAGTTTTTTACATGTCCATTTTTGCTCGTGTTAGTTGCAACTGTTGTTGTCAATGTTGTTGTCGTTGTTCTTATTGTTGCTGTTGTTGCTGTGTTGTGCTGTTTTTTTTTTCTCTCTTTCATCTTTCTGCACAGCAGCAACATTCAATATCATTTACATGCATTAAGTATGTACAACAAAAATAAGAATAACTAAATAAAAATATAAAAACAGAAAAATTCTTAAATATACAAAATAAAGTGAAACTAATTAATTAAAAAAAAAAAAAAAAACAAAAACATAAAAACTTACACCAAAAATGTTAAACAAATTGCTAAAAACTCGTAAATTGAAAACCAACAACAAAAAACTAAACGTAAAGTTCTCTTTGTTCTATTTTTGATAGTAGTATACTGTATTTTAAATATATAACACATACTTATATAAATACCTATGTATGCCCAACAATAAATGTGTTTTCTGTTGCCCACCATGAAATGCAATCAGTGTGCATAAATTTATAAAATGTTAACTCAAGACTAAGCTTGCAACTCTTAACTATCCAATGATAATAAATCCAAACTACAATTATTTACAAACTGACAAGCTACAACAAAAACTAAAAAAAAAAAGAAGCAGATAAATGAAACAAAACAAGCTCAAAAGTATGTAAACAACTTTTTTAATACTCCGTTCCCTTCAGCTGTTAATCCGTTGTGAACGGAGTCTTACGCCGTCGGTTGCATCCGACTGCAAAGTTTTCATTTGTGTTTTATCAAATTAGCTGGGAAAACTTGTTTATTTAGATATACATCATATCTAACAGGCTATTTATAATATTTTTTCCTAATGAATTCTTCAACTGTGCTTGGCAGTAAACAAATTATGTGCCAGTTAGCCAAAATAGAATAAAGGCCAGCAGCAAAAGCATCAAAATGAAACCTAGTAGCTTGCTCTGACCAAGCATGCCGAAATGAGAGATACCCTCTATGTGCTCTACGCACGCCTGCTTGACACTATGCAAATCCTAAATAACTTTTGTGTTTTATCCGATCGCATAAAGTTCGAATGGCTCAAAACTGACATAGACATGTTTACAATTGCAAAAGAGTTACCTATCAGGTATGGGTTTTCCGTCAATCGATATTTGGCAAAGAAAGCGAATATTTTGATCTGCATATGATATAATCTTTATTGCAAAATCGAACTTGTATATCAAATGGCAGCTGAGATCAAGAACATATACAAATTTGAGCTTGTAAATATGTTTTATGTCGAATGGGTTAAAGGGGTCACATCAACTGGCACATATCTATCAAGCCCTCTTCAAGACATTTGCTGGGTGCTGTGTGTGCAAACAAACGAAAAATCATGTTGACATTAGTTTCCAAAGATTTGACAGACGTTAGTTTGGTCAGCTAAACGACTTAAATAAATATATTCAAACAATTCTGTTGACCCAAATGAGGACTCGCATGCAATCGATTCAATTTAAATTTCCATTCACTTCCTGTATGCCCCGTTCCGGTTGCTGTTGTCATCTAATTGTTGTTGTTTTATTGTTGTTGTAAACTAAGACTAAGGTTAAGACTACATCAAGCAAGCGGTTACCACCGACTAAATGTACTTTAGTAGTGTTAACTGAACATACTCAAAATAATCCCGGAGCTGCACATAAATCCACAAGCACTTTGGTGCAATACGCTCCGTTTCTAATTCGATTGCTGGCAATGCAAATATATATGACAATTACTTTACAAATGTCGTTTTTATTTGGCAAAAATGTTCAACCAACAAGAACAAATGCATTTCAACGCATTGCATTATGTCTATACATATATATATATGTGTGTGTGTGTATGTGTGGCAGTGTAAACAATGCTATGAATATATGGCATTCTTTTGGGCGCGCTTGAATGAAATATTTGTGAGCGCTTGCAGCAGATGAGAAAACAAAGGGAACTCATTGCAAACTCAAGTGAGGCCGATTCAAGTCTGTGCGCAGCTAAGGAAAATCGAAAAAGACAGCAAAATAAATTTTAGTTAACGCTCTAAAAATGAGAATCCATTGAAGGCAGGTCAATATTGTAAATTTTTAAGAGGTTACGAGGCAAAAGAAAAGTCTTCCGCCTTGAGTAGCCACATTTCTTTTGTATTAATTTGCTTATTTTATTTTTGTCTCAACTTTTTGTAGTTGTTTTGTAGAAGGAGTTGGCAGCCGGGAGAAATGTGAGCAAAACCACGCATAATTTAGTGTATCAAATTGTAAGAGCAAGGTCAAGAAATGCAAAATAAGTGTTTATGGTATATAGAGAATTGTACCTTTATATACAAGCACACATGTATGTATATATATGTACTTTGAAATGTAAATAACGTTGAAAATATGTGAAAGAGAGCAAGCAGCAAGCTATATTATCATATGTTTATACAATATACCCATAAGTATGTGAATGGAAGGAGTAAAAGATCGATAGATCTGGAGAGAGCAAGAGAAAGCGAAAAAAAAGATATGCAAAAAATTTGTATGCACAAATCAAACAAGTTTCGATGAAAAAAAAGAATATTTAAAAAAATAAAGCAAGAAAAGAAAACCAGGAAACAATTTCAAGATGCAACTGAATGTAACAATCATATGATGA